CAGAGAAGAAGTTATCAAAGAATTGGCAGGTATGTTTCTCTTGGTGATTTTACATAGGTGTTCAATGGTGAATAACTTTTAAGGATTTTCTTTTTTAAAGATTTAAGGCTTAAATTTTTAAGTGTAGAACCAAGTATATTAAAATGCCCTTAAAATAATATCACACCTGGCTGGGCACGGTGGCTCACACTGGTAATCCCAGCACTTTGGGAGGCTGAGGCTGGAGGACAGCTTGAGCCTAGGAGTTTGAGACCAGCCTGAGCAACATAGTGAGACCATCTCCACAAAAAATAGAAAAATTAGCCAGGTGTGGTGGTGTGTGCCTATAGTCCCAGCTACTTGGGAGGCTGAAGCAGAAGGATTGCTTCAGCCCAGGAATTTGAGGTTGGAGTGAACTTTGATAACACCACTGCCCTCTAGTTTGGGCAACAGAATGAGACCTTGTGTCAAAAAAAAAAAAAATCAGACCTAACTGATTGCAGTATGTTAGATACGAGATTTTTTTTTTGATAGTGTTCCAATCAAGATTGAATTTTGGGGAAAAAGTACTTTTATTAAATGTCTCAGGATTAATTTGTTCAGAGAATTTGAAGTCCACATAGAAGAACGGATTAGTATATATCTTGTTTTAATAAGTCCCAAACAGAAAGGGATTTTTTATATCCATCAAGCTTAATAGTATCCTTCTCAATCTAAGTGTTTTCATATTTTTGTTACAGGAATAGTGGGCAGCCTCAATTCAGAAAATAAAGTGGATCTCACCAATCCACAATACACGGTGGTAGTAGAAATCATCAAAGCTGTCTGTTGCCTGAGTGTTGTGAAAGATTACACGTTGTTCAGAAAATACAATCTCCAGGAGGTGGTGAAGAGTGCTAAGGACCCGTCACAGCTTAACCCAAAGCAGGGAAATGGGAAGGAAACTAAATTAGAATCTGGTGACACATTAAATCAAAACAACCCAGCAGAAGGAAAAAATAACCAGCAGGTGGTACCAGAGATTAGTGAGGAGCTAGGGCAGATAAAACCAACATCTGAGATGCAGGTGGTGAATGAGGGAGGAGCCAAACCTGAAATTGCGAGTCAGGTCACCGAAGGATCCAAGTCAAAGGAAAATGACCTCTCATAGGAGGTTGTTTGGTATATTGGAGGTGAGTTTCTCAACTGGGGTTCTATGAGATATTGCTGAGGTTCCACATAAAATTGTGACTGAAAACACTGTTTTTGACCTTTGTGTGCTGCATAATGCTGTTCTCACTGTAGTGAACAATGATCACATAGCCCTGTTAACAGTTCTGTTAGAGATCTTTCATCCCTCTGTGGCAGTATGCATAGGCAGGCCTTCGTGCTGTTGCACAGAGGGGTGGGTGGCAGGGGGAGGACATTGGCCTCTCCCAGCCTCCTCTTAGGCACTGCCAACTGACTTGCGGGAGTGAACAGGCTCTGTGAGGTAGAAAATTAGAACTTTTCATTCTAAGGAAGGAAGTTTTATGTGCCACAACTCAGCTGTCCCCTGCCACTTTGTTGTAAACATTGCAAAAACGTGGATTGTGCAGGTTAGAAGTGAATTGTTTTGTGCCGTCTTTTTACTTTTCGTGATTTTCCTGTTTGGTTTTGTTCGTTTTTATATTTTGTTAACATTTGTGTGTAACAAATCTGGCAGTTCAGTGCTGCAGTTTTTGAAGGCAAGGTGTGAAATAGAAGAGGACTGTTCTAGGAATAGAGTTACAGACATTTTTGGTAAGGTTGGTGATGAAGAATTTCAGTCTTCTGAGTTACTTCAGTACACTAGTGCAACAAGGGACACAATTCTGTCTTTACAATGAAAGCTGTTTTTACATGGACTTGTCATCCAAGCTGTCCTATTCTGTTGTGCATCGTTGTTGCATGTGACTTACAAATCTGGCAATTGTAACTACAAATCACGGCCACTTGGTAAGTAAGGCTATTGATTATTTTAAATGGCTTTTGGAATATCAGAACAGTAAAACTTTTGTTCAAAAAGGATATTCAGTGAAAAGGTTTAGGAACCAAATTATTTGTAGCAGAACTTATTCCAGAAAAGAAAAATTCACACAGTTGGTGAGAGTCTCATATACCAACACAAAAATGCACCTGGGGCAAGCTGCAGCATAATCAATCGAAAAGGCTTGACTCTCAGTAAGTTGAATTACTGATGATATATCACATGATGCTAAAAAGGTTTTGTATAATTAACCAAAAAGCAGCAGCTTCTCTATCCAGGTTGGTGATCAATAGTTTTCATTAATATTTGTCATGCTGTAGCATTTGTTAGATTTGTAAATGATGTTGAAATTGAAGAAAACTTTTTCTGCTGCTCCCAAAACAAAGGCCAATGTATATTTAATGTCTTCATATCCGAAAACCAGAGGTCTGTCATCTATACCCCTGGAGCCCCATCAGTGGTTGGCTCCATAACAAGTTTTGCCTCATTAAAAAAGAAAATCCTGATGTTGACATTAGAGCACACTGCTTTCTTCACAAAGATGCTGATATCAAAAACTTGGAGATGAAATGAAGAAAGTTCTGAATAATGCTATACAAATGGTTACCTTTATTATTAAAGACCCATTTATGCAAGAATGTTAAAAAAAAACCCAAACTAAAAAATGGACAGACAGCACATAAATCTCCTGCTTCATCCAGATAGCCAATGGCTTATCGGAGGAAGAATTCCTGACAGGATATTTGAGTTGAAAGATAAATTACCAACATGCTTAAGAAATTAGTAGGCAAGGTTTTGCTGAGTGCTTTGAAGAAAGGAAGAATGGCTATAGAAACTAGCCTATTTAGCAGACATTTTCATCACATGAACAAGTTTCTGCATGGTCCTTTTTTCTTAAAGTGACAAGAGTGTTAGATTTAAAGGGAAACAGACTCTGGAACAATCACCTTGCCAGAGGAACTCCTGAAATCTTTCAGCATCTACTTGGGCTTTAAGAATGAAGGATATAAGTCTCAACTCTTGCTAGAACCCACCTGGAAGAACTGCAAGACCAAATTAGATAGCTTTTCTTCTCCTTTTCCCAGAAATAGTGTATGACTAGATGAGGAACCCTTAAAATCTGCTCAGCCTGAGATTTGTTTCTCTGAAAGAAGAGAAAGAACTTAGCCTTAGTCTGACAGTTGTGGATTTCTTTGAAATAAGAGTATCCTTCAAGTTAGTGCTCACGCTCACATTCCATGAGGGTTCCCTGTATGGGTCTCCTGAATTTGAAAGTTTTTTCAAGGGCTTCTCCTGAGTAAAACAATTGAAAAAGGCTGCACTTATACAAACCTATAGGGTAAGAAAGAAAAAAGCTGAAAAGAGACACACCAATGAAGTCTGCAAAATATACTGTTTAGATTGAGACTATAAAAATAGTGCTGTAAAAATAGCTTTTAGAGATGGGTTTATTCTTAAATTTTAAAAAAGTTAGGAAGTAGTATAAATGTTAAGACTTCCCACACAAGTGGCTGTGTCTGTTTAATGGATAGTGACCATGGAAATATATTTTTATCCCCTTACCTAGTGGTTCTGCTTGGTAAACCAGAGTAGAAGAATTTGAGAGGGGCAAAGAGAATAGGCAGGACCTTCCTTGTGTATCTTCAGATATTTAGAATGTTAACTCTTAATGAGGTTGAAGTCATCTTGAAAGGATTAATAAGAGTATTATTCGTATTGTATGTGGGAAGAGGGAGGATAGGATTTCGGTGCCTTCTTCAGTGGACTCACTCCAAGACAAAGATACTTTTATTTTGGTAGTGCAAGACAAAAGGACTCTGGGAATAAAATTGGGCATGTGCCTATAGAACATACAACTCTGGAACTGGGTTCCTTTTACTTTGTGAAAGCTGCTACTCTACAGAAAGATTTAGGTTTGATAGTTTGCTTTTCATTGCCTTTTGTATTTATTTGTATTTGGTAAGACCCAGGTGTGATACAAGCTATTCTTTCCCAGCTATAAAATACCATGTACTCTTGGAATCTGAATTCACTCATTTAAAAATTGTTTTTAGGTTTATCACCTGTTTATTTTCACTGACATTTGAGCATGTTATTTTATAAATGACGAGATTCCAGGGTGGGAATTGAGTACTT